CTCTGTTCTGTGTTACAAGGGAGAGATGGAGAAATTGAAGTCTGCTCTCTGATCAAGTTTCAATAAAGGTATTGATCCTAAACAGCTGAGAGCAGGTTTAGGTAAGGGGAGGGAACAGAGTTATTTAAATTATCAAAGCTAACACCTGAGGGAAGTTACCCAGATCCTCTGGAAGCTGCCTCCCAGGGCTGTGATCAGCAGTTTGCCACACGGGGGGCTCTGGGTTGATGTGGAAACAGCTGGGAGTGAGATCCTGGCTGTGGCTGAAGCCCCAGATCGCTTGAGGGGAGCAGAGACAACGGGACATCACAGCCCTTCCTGGGCTGGGTGGGTGCTCTGTGCAATGGGAAGGATTTTGCTCCTGTCAGTCCCATCCCTCACCCATGCCGAGTTCACCTTGACTCCTCACCAGGCTGGTGCCAGAAGAGATAAAGAAGATGAGTGGATTTGGAGAACTTGTTAAAAAAAAAAAAAAAATCCCAAATCACCCAGGAAGCTGAGGGTTAAAGGCTCAAAGATGAAGGACAACGTTCAGATGTAAAAGCCACAGTCCAGGTCAATAATAAAAGCTTCAGAGTGATGGAAAACCTGCCCTGTCAGTAATTTCTATTCCAAGAGATGTTTGTGATGATGCAGTTGTAATATCCTTTTTCACACCATGAACTTGTTCATCTTTGTCTCTTGCTTAATTACAGCTTTTTCTTTTCTTTTTTTCACTGTGTGACACAATTTTAGTTTGACAAAATGGCCCGACTTGCTTTTGTAGTGTCCATCCTATGGATCATTCCAGAAATCAAAATGATTTTGCAACAAATGTCAGCAATGCCTTGCTCTGTGACAATCAGCTCAGAAATACTTCATGATGAGCTTCAGTGGGCACGAAAGGAAAACCAGAAACGTGGTGGGTGATTTCTGCCTTTACTTGGTACCCACACAGGCAGTGCAGTCCCTTGGTCACCTGGCTGCAGGCTCCCAGGTGAGCCCAGGGAAAGCTCTTCTGTGCATCCCCTTCACCCACCAAAAAGGGCAGCTCACTCTCCCTGGCCTGGCTAATCCTTCCTTTCCTGCGAATTCCAAATCCAAGGCTATCTGTCTGCCAGTTCCTGTGGTTTTGGGAGCTTTTTTGATCATATATTCTTCTTCTGGAGATGGTAGCTGCTGAAATTTTATTGCTTGAATCTTGTCGTTTCTGATCAATCTCATTTGGAAAAAAGGAAAAACGTCCAGCCCTCGGGGCTGTAGAGGAAAGCTTAGGAAAATGAACCCTAAATGCCCTGGCATTCAGACCAATAAAGACAGCCTGGCATCGGTTGTCATGTAAATAACAAGCTTGTAAAACAAACACTGCACATTCCAGCAGTTCTGTTTGTTAAATCTGCTTCTCCTGCAGTCTGGACTGGGACCTGGTGCCAGCCTTTCCTGGCCAGCAGAGCACTAGCACCATCCTCCTCCTCTTCCTCCTCAGAACTGCCAGTTTGGAAACAACTTTTCACTGCTGGGAGCAGCAGCAGGGGCTCTGAAGGTGAGCCCGATGCTTCTCAGGGTTTTTCCCGGAGAGCAGTTCCCTGCTCTCTGCACGGCCCCCGGCTCCACCTGGACAGGTAAGTGGATGCTTTGGCACGTGGGGCTGCATTTCCCATTTACCTTCACACATCAAGAAAGGTAAATCCAACTCTTTGCTGGTGACAATGGCTTTGTCAGCAATATGCTGAACTTAATTATCCCATATTATGCAGAAGATGTTATTCTAAATGTAACCAAACTGCTGTGGGTTGCTATTTCTGAAGTCTGTGTTGAGCTTGCCAGGGGTTAAGTGTGGTAAACTCTTATTTCCTGCCCAGAACCGATTTATTTTTGTAACACAGGAGTTTTCAGTAAGTTTGTACTGGAAAAATGCTTGGCTAAGGCTTTTACTGGTGAAAACAGACCAAAAATGCTTTGCTCAGATTTTTACTGGCAGCAGTAGATGAAATGCTTTCCTCAGTTTTATGCTGCAAGCAAATATATATTGATAACCAAATAAACTCCTTGATTAATTAAAACACACCATACATTCTAGCAGAGAAACAGAGCATTCATCTCTAGAAATCTTTATGTGAGAAGATGATTGTTTTAATCTGTCATAGCCAGAGTGTGTGGACACATCCTTTGGGGATGCTGGGGCTGGGCAGAGCTGAGGCAGGAGGCTCAACCACAAACAGTCTGGATTTTGTTTGGATATGTGATGCCATATTTCAAACATACATAAAATAACTGAAGGAGAAAGAAGGATGTCCTCTGGCTGCTGCAGAGTAGGAGATCTGTCACATTTGCACCAGGGTTTTGGGGTCTAAGTGCTATTTGGAGGAGGATCAGGGACTAAGTGTCCCATCCATCTCCACTGGCCTCAGGTTCTTGTGTATTTGCTGCCCAGAGAACCTCCCTGGCAGCTGCTGGAGCTGTGTGTTCCTCATGCCCTCCCACGGCTGCCAGCAGCACTCGTCCAAGCTGCAGTCGACTCCAAACCTTTTGTCCTTTTCTACTAAACCATCTTTGTGTCCTTCAGTTTCAGCACGAGAGCTGGGATTTGATGGCCATCCTCTCCGGAGTGCTTGGTCCCCGGGGCTGTGCTGGGGAGGAGCAGATTTCAGCTGGGAGCAGGAGGAGGATGAAGAGCAGAGGGCTGATGCTGTCCCTGTGCCACCACTGGTGCCAAGTGCCAGCATTTATCCAGCAAACTGCCACCCCGCCCTGTCACCTGCGGGCAGACAGGGACACCCTGGTGAATTCAGCACTCTCCGGGGCAGGGTGGGAAGGCAGCTGGCAGGGGGGCAGCAGTTTGCTGCACAAACTCCACAGCAGAACCTACCACGAAGTGCAATTACTGCTGGTTCCAAGAGTAAAATCGTCCCTGTTATCACCCTGCTCACTCCATGCTCAAGGATTGCATCAGGTGGATGCAAATCTCCTCACATCCCTACCAGCAGACAGCCTCCTGCGAGGAAGCTTCGAGAAAACAGAAATCGTCCAGAATACTAAAATTGAACACTACCTTTTCCTTCTAAAACTTGCTCAAAGTTTACTTTCACCAGGCCAGACTGCAGAAATACAGATTGTCTTAATTTATTAAACGTACCACGATTTAAAATTGCTCAGAATTCCCAGCGTCAGGATGCTCTGCAAGAGTTATCCTTCCTATCAAACTTGGGGGATCCAGAGAAAAGAAAGAAAGGAGAAGTTGTGGATTTGAACAAGTGAAGCCGCTTTTGAGTTCTGACACGGAGCCAGCTTTTTTTCTGTGCCTGACAAAATTTCCCAATCGATTTTTAGAGTTTAATAAGAAAACAAAAGAATTCAACACTGCAAAGCCTCAAATTCCCAGCGACGCTCCAAATTCCCAAATTTTACGGCCAACTTCCAAGCCTGCCGGTGCAAGGCGCGATTACTGAGGGAGCCGAAGAGCCGAACTCGGGCTGGAAAGCCGCGGTTTAAGCGGGGAAAAAAGCTTTGGGAGCAGGAGCGGCTGCCCTGGCAGGGGAAAGGCGAAGCGCAGCAGCTCCAAGCGCTCGGTGCCGGCCCCGGGGGAGGGCTCGGGGCTCGGGGCTCGGGGCTGGGAGCCCGGTTCGGGCACGAAGCCGTTCTGCGAGTGCCATCCAGGGGACGGGAGCTGCACTTCAGCCGCTGCTCCGGGAGAGGCGGGGGTTAAAGCGTGGCTGGCTGCGGTGTCGCGGAGGAGGAACCAACCCAAGCGAGGTGTTTCCAATTTCCCCAGCAGCAGCCCGAGCTCAGCCGGTGCGCAGGGCAGGGATGGGAGGGGGATTAAGAAGCTGAGAAGTGCCAGGAGTTTGGGAAAGGGACCAGAACCTTCATAGCAGGTCTAACAATACTAATTACAGAATCACTTAGGGTGGAAAAGAGCTCCAAAATTATCGAGTCCAACTTGTGACCGATCACCACCTTGTCACCCAGCGCAGAGTGCTGAGTGCCACGTCCAGGAATTCCTTGGACTCCTCCGGGAATGGTGACTCCAAACCTCCCTGGACGGCCCCGTCCAGCTCTGGTGGTAATTTAGGTGGATACACTTTGTGTGACCCTCTCCCCAGGACCCCTCTGCTGTGTCTGGGGGTGGAGGGCAGCCCCAATGACATGTCGGTTCCTGTCCCCGAGTGTTTCCCAAACCTCGGGATTTACGACTTGGGAAAACCCTCAGAGGCAGAATCCATCCTCCTCTGTGCCCATCACCGGCCGGAGACCGCCAGGTGTTTAAAACACGACCATGCTTGTAAAGGAGCAGTGGGGAAACACAATTTCCTTGTCATATAAATCATTGGTGGGGGGAAAAACTGGTTTTAACCGTTTTAAGGGGAAACTTTTCTGCTGTGGAGCTCCCGGCCCTGACTGTGACCCCCCATCCTCCCTGGGATCCCGTTAGTTGTGGGATGGGAGGTGGCCATGGCGATGGGATAGAAGGTGGCGATGGAATGAGAGGTGGCCATGGCGATGGGATAGGAGGTGGCCGTGTCCGGGCAGGGCTCGGGGGCGGAAGGAACGGGGGTCTCGGGGGTCGCGGGGCTCACCTTGAGGATGAGCGGGTTGCGCAGCATGCTGAGCCGGACCAAGCCCAGCCGCTCGTTCTCCGTGCCCGGGCCCGCCTCGGCCAAGGTCATCGGCCGGCGCCGGGGCCCCGCTCTGACGCCCACCATGGCGGCGGGGTGGGGGTTCGGTCCCGGGCCGGGGGAGTCTCGGCTGTCCCTGTGCCGAGACTCTGTCGGTGTTCCTGGTCCCGATCCCGGGGGTCTCTGCACGGCCCCGGTGCCGGTGCCGATCCCGGGGGTCTCTGCACGGCCCCGGTGCCGGTGCCGGGGTTCTCCCACCGGACTCGCGGCGCGCGCGGCGGCGTCCGTTTCCAGGCAACAGTCGGTGCGCCGCTCTGATGGGTCCGGCTGGGGCCGCTTCCGCCGGGGGAACGAATGAGCCGACGGAACGGATGGGCCAGGGGTGGGGCATGGGGGGTTGGCGTCGCGGGCGGACACCGCGTGGAGGTAACGGAGACCCGGCCGGACGGGGCCCTGGAGGGTCCCAGAGGGGCTGCGGGTTCCTCCCAGCTTGGGGCTGCCGAGAGCTCTGTGGGTGCGCTGGGAATCTCCCTCGGTAGCTCGTGGGTGGCGGAGAGGAGCGGCGGGGTGCGGCCCGGCCTCATTCCCGTGCTCAGCTGCGGTTTGCCGGTATCTGGACCTAGCGGCGAGCCGTGGTTTGAGCTCCACTGAGCCTTCAGGGCCGCTCGTTCCCCTCGGTGGCCGGGAGGGGATGCCCGGGACCGGCCGGCGGTTCGAACCGCCCTGGGCTTGTGAAATTTAAAGGCGCCTGTTTCAAACGTGACGGGGCTGCTGCGTAGGGAGTGTTTTGTCTGTGCTAGATGTAGAAAATGTGCTAAAAATGCTCCTTGCCTCCTCTGTGTGGCTGAATTCTGCAGCAATTGCCCTGTCCTGGTACAGAGTCGGCAGGGGTGAGCTCGGCCCGTCAGAAACTTCTGATTAGATCATTTTTGGGTTTAGTGCTGATGAGTCTCATGTTTGTTTGTTGCTTTTAGCTTGCTGCTTTTTCCGTGCTGAAAGCTGAGTTGAACGTTGCTGAGTTATTCAAAGTCAAAGCTAATAGTTATTAAACTTGTTAAAGTGGGTTTTTTTTGTTGTTGTAGGAAGGCACTTTGAAGGCTGGTGACAGCTGTGATGCACATCCGTTTGACAAAGAAGGCATCGACTTTTCCTAGGCACTTCACAAAACTAACTGGATTGAAAAGTAAGAATCTAAGATAGAACTGAGATTTTAATTGTTAAGGTTTTGGGTGGATTTTGTGCTTTTTGTTGTTTGTTTGTTGTTTTTTTTCTGTGGGGGTTGTGTGTTTTAAACAAACTATGTATAGACGAAAACACTTCAATAAAACTCCTCTCTTTTACTTAAGAGAAAAAAAATGAAAAGCAAAGCGCATGCAGATGATTTTCAAGTCCACGACTTTTTCAAGAAGAAGAAAAAGAAGAAGAAGAAACACAACGATTCCAGCAACACACATGAAAATGCTGAAACTGTGGAAGATCCAGAGCTCAGCCACGCTTCCCTGGTGCTCTTTGAAGATGCAGCGACACAGGACGGGGAGGAGAGGAAAAAGAAGAAAAAAGTGAAAAAAAAGGATGGGAAGCAGCAGACCTCGATGGAAAATTACATTTTGAGGGTGGAACCTGAAATGAGCAATGGGACTGGAGCAGCTGCTTCCCCGAGGAAGAAGAGGAAGGGTCTGGACAGCACTGATGAGCTCAGTGATGGCACCTGTGTCCCTGTGAACCAGTACAGCAGCCAGGACTGCCAGGAGAATGCTGCTGATTGTCTTTATTTTAAAAAACCCAAGAAGAAAAAGAAAGAAAAGCACCCTGAAGGGGGTGAGGTGTGTGAGCTGCCTCCTTCTGAGGAGAACAGCAAGAGCCACAACGAGAAATCCAAAAGCAAGAGGAGGAAGAAGAAGAAGAGAGATGGCAGTGCCCAGGACGTTCAGGAGAACTCAGAGGGGGCAGCTGAGCAGCCACTGCTGCCACCCTCAGAGCAGGACAGGGGACACAAGACATGGCCTTCACCTGCAGGTGAGGATGGAGGCTGTGATGCTGCTTCTGCCACCACTGAGGTCTCCATGGAGCCCCCTGCTGATTTTTCCACACCCAATAAAGCAGCTAATCGAGCAAAAAAGACTCCAGCACGTGCTAAAAAGGCAATTAAAAGCAGCGCTTTTGTCATGGAAGAAAGCTCTTCAGAGTCTGATGTGACGTAAGTTCAGGTCTTGTTTGTGGGTTTTTTTGCCTTCCTCCACTCCCCAAATAAATTCCTTCTTGTTATTTAGGTTCCAAGGTTTTCTTTATTCTGTTTTGTGTCTGTTCTAAAGAAACACTTTGAACTCGCACAGCGTTTGTGATGTTAGAGACCTACTTTAAAAGTTGAGTTTTCTTGTGGAGATCTAATAACAATTTTTAAGAATACTTCAGTGTAGGCTTTTTTCTTCTCTTTAAAAAACATAGGTAGGGAAATAATTTATGTGCAAACAATTCACATTTAAAAAAAAAACAAAAGTGGGGGAAAAGCAAAGGATTTCATTGGTAAAATTTGATTTTTATAGTGAACATATGCATTTTAACCAAGCAACTAATAAGGTCAGCTAAACAGAGTGTTCTTTGCAAATAAATGCTTGTGTAAGTAGTTCTTGATGCCTTTACAATGTCTAGAACATAAAACAGGAGCACTAGTGGATTTTCAGAACTTCAGAAAGCTCCTTGATTATTTTAATCAGTAATTTGGTAATAAGTTGCAATTATTAAATTATGTTAAAAAGTTAGAAATGCAAGGCAGTGCATGTGTGAAGTGTTTTTTGTTCTGTAATTAATGAATGTATTCTTTTAATTGTACAGATGTTAAAAAAATTTCTGTTTTGGAGTTCTAGTGGCATATTTTATGTATTTTTTTTTTTTTTTTGTAATATCAGGACACCAGAAGCCTTGGCACCATATAAAAAGAAGCAGGAGCAGCAGAACAACTCCTTTGCTGAATTGGCAGCCTCTGATGAGGTCAGTGTGGATGGTGAAGAGGGCCTGGACTCTGCCATCACTTCAATCATGGATTTGGATACTGCAAGACAAGAACTGGAGGAGTTTATTCCTCATGTGAAGAATATATCAGACAGTTCAATCAAACAAATGGTTGGAAGAGACCTATCAAGGTTTAAGGAGTTTAAAAAGCAGGGTGAGCTCTCTGAAATCGTGTTGCAGTGAGCAAGAACTGTGCAGCTGTGCTAATGTTTGGACAGAGGGAAAAGTTTCTTGTGTCCTGTCTGTTGCAGCCATAGAGTCTGGTTCATTTCATTCCATTGACATATTTTCTGTTTCTCTGTTTTGTAGCGTCTGCTTCCACACTGGCAAATTTCAGTCCAAACTTGTGTGTTAATTGCTGATTCCCAGCTGGTTTTGGCTCTTTCAGTTTTCTCTTTTCCCCTCTGAATTTGTTGATACCTGAGCTAAAACCTGAGATGTGCAAGAGATGGTACTTGAGAGTTGACTTGATTTTTTTATTTTTTTATTTTTTTTTTTACCTTTTTATATTTTAGGTATTGCTGTCAAGTTTGGCAGATTTACCCAGAAGGAAAACAAACAAATCCAGAAAAATGTTGAAGACTTCTTAGCACTTACTGGACTAGACAGTGCTGAAAAACTTCTGTTTACCTCGAGGTATCCAGATGATAAAGAGACCATCCATCGCCTAAAAACAGAACATCATTTTTGTGAAAAAATCTGTGAGTATTTAAGTTCATCCTCAGATAACTGAATGTTACATTCTACAAACAACCTGGTGATATCGTGGCATATTTTTGTAAAACAATTTTTATTGAAAATCACTGATGTTGCTAAATTTGGTAAAAAAAGGAGCTGCTGACGTGGTGTAGTTGATAATCTGCACAGTCCACTGTTTTTATTATCTTGTCTCAAATAGGAGGATTTTAGGGATCAAACATGGTCAAGAGTAGTAAAGACTTCCAGACTTGCATTTGGACTTTATGGCTTTAAGTGTATAACCTGCTAAGCTATAATTAAGGTTACTAATGGCAGTTGTGAGTGATTAAGTCCTGTCTGAAATTGTCACCTGTTCTTAGATCACATAAATAGGTGGCAAGTGCAGGACTGAGGGGGGTGGAAGAAACTGAGCCATGTCAGTTTTCCAGGGCATGGGGATCTCCTCAGTGCACCAGGAGAAGCTTTATTCTGTGTGTTTGGTGACATCCTCTCAGGCAAGGCAGAGTAAAGGGCAGCCTGTCATGGATCAGGACACTGGGATCAAATACAGATTTGTTCCTGTGTGATTATTTCAGACACACAATCCTTCCCTCTGCATTGGCACATTTGCCTGATGTTGACTTTCATTCCAGTCTGGAGTTTGCTCCTGGGCTGGGAAGGTTTGGCAAAGTCTCATCAGTGTTGTGTGCCTTGCAGTCCCCCCTCCTGGGCACTGCTGACCAAGGTGCTTGTGTGTTCCCCGGGATTGGTCTCTGTGGATTTTCACTTGGTTTGTGCTGGATGCCCCCAGTGCCTCCTTTTCCCAGTTGGGACAGTCTGTGTCTCCTCAGCCTCCTGCCTGGTGGCTGTCTCATGTCTCTCTTTTAATGGGAGTGTTCAGCATGCCAGTTAAATTTTAATCACACCTGGATCAAAATGCACATCCAGTCCGTGCAGTTTGTAGCTGGTGAGTGAAAAGAATCTGTTGTTGACAGCACAGTCATGAAAATGTGTGGTGTTGGGTTTTGGGGTTTTTCATTTTGGCCTCACCATTGTTAGAAATGTTTGTTGAACATGATCCTTTACCTTCCAGCTGAGGGCATACCCCGGCCCTGGAGGCTGATATATTATCGAGCAAGGAAGATGTTTGACCCAAATAATTACAAAGGAAGGTAAGGGAATACTTTAAAAGTGTTTCTGAATGCTACTATCAATCCGTGTTGATCATTTGTATATTAAAAATGGATTCAAATGAAGATCATCTCTCCCATTTGTGTCAGTTACTGTGACTTAATTGATAGTTCATTTTCCCTTATTGATTTCTCTCTTCTAAAATGTGACTTGAAATGATAATGATGATTAACATTGATCACCTGCAGATGTTACAGGTCTTTAAGAGGTTGAAATGGTTTGAATTGACAGCTGAAGCTGTGCCCATTTCCTCAACCAGGTATTCTAAGGAAGAAAAAGAAACATTAAAGAAGTATCAAGCTCTGCATGGCAATGATTGGAAGAAGATTTCTGAGTTGATGTCCCGTTCTAACCTCTCAGTTGCTATGAAATTCTCTGAAATCAAGTCAGGTATGTAATTTTAAGAAAAACAAATTTTGTGTAATGTTATTTGCCCTGTTTGATGTAGATACCCTAAACATATGAAAAAAGTCCTTCAAGTATGGGGGTTTTAATTAATTTAATTTGTAGTGGTGGTCCTCTTCTTCACACCACTGGTTACATTTTCATATAGAAAGGATAAGAAAGATCTCTGAAAGAAAATGGAACAAATATAACTCTTTATTAAGAGAACTGACATCTAAAAAAGATGATTTCATGGGGAGGGCAGAAGGAATTTGGCAGCCAGGTTTAAAAAGATAAAAGCTGGGGATCAGACTGTTCTTTAGTGTTTAGGCTGAGCTCTCAAGTCTGGTATGCATAAGAGTTTCTTGGACATGCGTTAAGAAGTTGGTACTATAAATAAAAATCATGCAAAGTGAAACATTTGCTCTTTTGCCTTTTTTCCCCCAAATCATTAATGATAAATTATGCCTTAACCTGGTGGGTTTTCACTTTTAGCTACTAACTATGGTGCTTGGACAAAGGAAGAGACCCAGAAATTAGTGAATGCAGTGAAGGAGGTGCTGAGGAGAAAAGCGCAAACAGAAAATGCAGGTTCTGTTTTGTCACTGGAACAGTCAGACACAGAGCTGTGGATTGACCGTGAGAAGCTGTATGAGACCCTGCCATGGACTGAGATTGAAAGCAAAGTGGGAAGTCGATACTGGAGACAATGCAAACAGAAATGGTGAGGCCTTGGACTAAACTGAGATGGTAAAATGTGTTCTGGGGTGTATTTATTGTGTAAAAGCTGTTTTGTACCATGGTGATCCTTTGGTAGGACAGGTAAGAGATTTGTAGAGCACAGAAAAGGCACTGTAGATGTGTCTGAGACAAATAACTCTTTGCTAGCTGTGGCAGGTTTTCTGTTTGCTGTGATAGCAAATCCTGATTTCTGCCTGATGTGCTGAGGCCTGAGCAGCAGAGTTGACTTACATGATGAACCCTGGGCATTGTGACTAACCAAAATAGTATTATTTAGCTAAAAATAGATGATTGGGACTCATGCTGTTTAACACCAAACCAACTTCTACAGAAACTTTCACGTAATCTTGTGTAGTTATCTGCAAGAAATGTATAACTTTAACAAACTTTCCCAACAAACAGGAATAGCAGCTTGTTTGTAAGGTATTTTAGGGGAAACCCTGCCAGCCAAGGCCTGGGCCCTGGTTGGGAAGTGTGGCATCAGATCCAGGTGTTTCTCTGCTAAAAATACAATCAAGGCACTCTGACTTGCTGATTTGGGGCCTATAAAAGCTGGACCCAGTTTTGGTGTGAATTTGGAGACCTCACCTAGGGGTGGACACCCTGTGTGGGATTTCCCAATTGCTGGGAAGGATTCTCCAGGTCCTGGCTGTGAAATGGGGCTCCCCAGTGACAGGATCTGGATGATGGTAAAAGACTGAGGCAATTGGTGGTGTATCTTTCTCAGTCACTGTCCTTTCTCTCATACAGTAATGATTTGTGCATTTCATGGCTTACTTTTGCTTGTTGCTAAAGCCAAGTGTGTAGTTTTATTGAATGTATAACTTTACTTTTTTTGTTGCCTTAATGTTCATAGTAAAATAAGACCATTCTTTCCATTGATGATTCTGTCCTTCCAATCCCCCCTGTCACTTGGCAGAACATTGCCTTTCTGGGACAGTAGCTGCATCTTGATGCTTGGAATTTCCTGAAATGATAGAAGCCCGTTTTTGTGTGTTTTCAAAGGAATTCGATTTTAACAAGCAAATTGACCAGAAGGCAGCAGATGTACAGAGGGACCGATGGATTAAGGGCCAAGATCGATATGATTAAAAGGTAAAGTTCTGAGCACTGGGATGTTTTGGTATCTCCCATTTGAACTGTGTTTGTAAAAGTTTTCAGGGTGAAAACAGCCTGCTTGCAGCTTGATATGTTTTGTAATCATTCTTTCTCTGGAAAAAAATGTCCTTTAATTTCTGATTGAGGGAGCTGGGAGCACTGAATTATATCTTGAGTTCTGCCTGCAAACTGTTTCTGTTTTACATTCACAGGTTGTATGAAACAAAAGCAGAGGATGCCAATGAAGTAAACTGGGATGAACTCGCTAACATTTTTGGGTAAACCTCCTTTCCCTCTTTCTATGGATACAAAGGATAATTAAAGCAGATGAATCAAAGTTCTGATATCTTTACAACTGTAGGAAATGCTCAGTTTGGAAACATTACAGTTGCATATCCTGGCATAGCGCTGAACAGGAAGCCAAGATCTGAAACCCTTAACATTCCAAATACTGGAGTGTTGTGTATCTGTGCTTTCAGTGTTAATCAACTAATGGGAAAAAATATGATTTGATATTATGGGTTCATTATTATTTGAATTCCATCCTTTCTACCTAAATCTAAGCTAGGGTTTGACTGGCATCACTCTCAGGAATGAATAACTCAGTAACAGTTCAGCTTTATGGTAGTTCCTTGCAGCACTAATTCTTTGAACTCTTCTCTTTGCAGAGATGTTCCTAGAGCCTATGTGCAATCAAAGTTTTATAGGCTAAAAGTGTCCTCTGTCCCTTTATGGAAAAGAAAATCTTTTTCTGGTCAGTATGCCAGCTGTTTGTATGTACTCCTTAAGGCTTTGGCTTGAATCTCAGAGAATACATATTCTGGTTCAATGTTTTCCTAATTGGCTAAAATCTCAGGCTTTGTACTTATTCTACTAAATTCTTTTTTATAACTTTGAATGTCCTCTTTGTGCAAGTGCTTATGAACCTGTTCTTTTTAATACCTTGGCTTGAAAAGTTTCAAGACTCTGCATTTTAATTTCTCTTTGCCTGCTCGTGTTATGTCTGATCTCCCTGCAGCCCCTGTGACCAGAAAAATGCAGAGATTTTGTGCATTTAACACTGACAACATAATTTAAGTCTGTGAGATCCAATTAAAACTGCTTTTTTTTTTCCCCCTCATAGAAATTATTGATTATCTGTATGAGAAGACGCTCCCAGAACTTGAAGAAAAGTTAAGAACGGACGAGAGGAAATACCGTAGTTTTGGCATTTCAGCAGCCAGCCAGCATCATGAGGTTTTCCGGTTCAGTGACATTTTTACCTCTGGTGAAGAGAGTGATTAATTGATCATTAAGCATTGCCTAATTTGCATATTTAACTGCAAATGGGTCTGGTTGAAAGTGGGTGTAGCTCACCACCTGCAAGTACCCAGGCTGTTGATAATGGGAAAAGTCAGGATAGGCACCTCCTGATTGTCTTGTTTTATCCTGAAGATTGAGTTACACAGAGCTTTTATACCACCTTTTATTTAATTTAGCTCTCGTTTTTAAAAGTTTTTATGTAAGTATTCAAGTTGCTTTCTAAATGTCTCAAAATAGTTTTTTTTTCTGTGGAGTTGAAAGCTGCTGTTTATTCTTTATGAGTGAACTTGGTTTTCATAACTTTATTTTTTAAAAATTCATAGTATTGGAAAAAGGTTTACCGTTTGCTTTTAAATCTCTGTAATAATAAGGTCTTGAGACATCTGTGTTGCTTTTTTTTTAACAGGTATCCTATTCTTAAAAGCAACTGATTTTATTTTTGATGCAGACTTACACTTTTTTCAACTCTGCTAGAGAAAAAGGACTTTTGTCCATTACTATTCGTCATTTCATGCTAACCATAACAAATAATTTAGAATGTTGTAATATGTGGAATACAGAGACAAAACAGTGTGTATATATATATATACATATGCATACATATATATTTTTATTTTGCAAGGAGAATTTCTACATTTTAGTAAGAAAATTAAGCAATAAGATGGAGGTTGTACTCATGTTCTGTATTATACTTTTAACTCTCTGCCTGAAGTGATTATTTGTAAATCAAGTGGATGAATGTAAAATATCTTACAGTGTTTAGTCTTTGTATGAGTTTTTAGTATTTCCTATATACTGTACTAGACAGTAATGTAAGAAGACTCAGTCCCTGCTCTTTGAGGGTCATTTTGATAAGTGACAATTTCCTTCTTCAATTTTAGTAATCATGATTGAAAATTCAGAATTTTCAGTAGCATGAAATAAAGGCCTTGTTGGAGGGTCTGGAAGGCGACTCATAGCAAGGGATTTTAAAGGAGAACTTTCCATATTTAATTATCTGACTTTAGTCACTGGGATTTTTGTGAGATAGGCACGGCCTCCCCTGCAATCAGCCACTCCTTCAAGGGCAAAGTTTTCCAGCCAAGAGATGAAATGGGATGGGGGGAAGGAAACACACACCACTTCCCGTTTAGGTCTTTGTGTTGCTTCCTGGGTTTGAAGGTTAAAAGCTGAAAAACTTGAATTTCTGAATCTAAAACGTTGGTGTTTTTCAAGTTTTTTTATTTTTTTTCCTTGGAAAACAGAGATGCTCAAATGATGCCTAGTTGTAAAGTTTGTAGAGTAGATCTTGCAGAAATAAACTTCTACCTCCATGATGAGATTTATTTTATTCTTTGCTTTAAAAGAAAACTGTTGTGGCTGAGTGGAATGCACCTCACTCTAAAGAGAGAAGCAGCCCTGTTTTATTGAGCAAAAAGAATTGGCAGAATTCAATACATTTGATGGAATTTAATAAAGTTTTAACAGTGATTGAGCAAGGTTCACTAAGCTTGATGGCGAAGTTCACCTTATTAATGACTGCATGGAAGAAACATACAAAGGAAAACTGAGTTAAAATCAAGTTAGTGATTCACAAAGGGTAAGAAAAACTCTCCAGTTGTCTCCTGAGGTTCAGGATGGCCCCCTCCTTCTTTCTTTTCTTCTTTCTGGAAGTCTGGGTGCAGCTGGATCCAGGCTTAGTGACAGACCTGATGAGTGCTTTATGTATTTGAAATTCATGGTTAATACTGAGTAGCCCCATGAATCAGGTATTTCATTACTAATTCAGCTGCTCAGTCACTTACCAAGGCTCTGGTGTAAGGGATCTCTTGCCCTAGGGCAGGGTGGGGCTCAGGTGTAAGAAGTTTCCCTGCTCCAGGGCATTTCCGTGGCCTGCAATCCAGCTGCAATTCAGAGTCGTTAGGGTGAAATTGGTGCCTGTTAATCAGCAGTACAGACAAGATAGATGCCTTTGTTTTAGCTCTGCTATCTCCTTCTCTGCTGTCATTATCTTGTATGTTTGGGCTTTAAAACCACCTTTCAAAATAATTTTCTAAGGCACTTTCACTCCCTTGTCTGTGAGCCAGGAGCATTCCACTCGAAGGGTCACCTCGGGGCATGAGCTCCTGTTATTGCCTCCCGGAAACTACTCAAGAAAAAATTTCTAATCCTCTTTAAAAGCAGTTTCTCTGCTAAATACGAGCAAGCCAGGGTTGAAATTGTAAACTTGGAGCCATTACTGCACTAGCTGCTCTGGGGAAACACAGACCTGAGGAAAGAGAGGTTTCCATCTCCCCAGCCCTGGGAATGGAGTAAGGAAACCTTTCCCCTCCTCTCCTTTGGTGCGGTGTGTGCAATCTGCTTGCACAGGGGCAAATAATTGCACGTTGATTATTTCCCAGGTGCTGAATAATTGCACAGGGAAGGAGCTTTTCCCTTTACCATTCTCTTCCCTGGGCCCATGGGAGCACAGGCACAGGGAGGCAGTTCTTTCATGTGGATATTTCAGTATTATTGCAAACAGAGCAAATTAAAAAAAAACAACAAAGAGGCTCCATGGAATGATGAAGGAAATAATATTGACAAAGCTTTGTGTATCAGCTTGCATTAAAATTAAGAGCATGACAGATCCTTCCAATGTAGAAGCACCCTAAAAACTTGGGTGTTTCAAGCATTTCCCTGGCATGTTCATGGCCTGAGAGGTGTTACAGCACAAAACTCTTCAGCTGTATGGCATTACCAAAGACAGACAGGTGAGTTCCAAGGGTGTGTTTGCAGTACTTGAAAGCTGAAGAAGCAGCTGAAGATCAAACAGGGACTTGCTTTTTTCACCCCTCTCTCCTGTAAGGTCTAAACCAAGGAGGTGGAGAAAGGTGATGCTGATATAACTCGGGTCAAATTAAGAAGATGCTCATATAGCTTGAGGTATAAGACACCAATATAACCTGAATCATAACTTTCTATACCATGCAATAACCAATATAGGGTTAGCTAGTTGCTTAATGCTCAAATAAATGGAAACTCTCCAGGTGAATAATCTCAAAAACAGACAAGTATAGCTATACTGGGAAGCAGCAGGATGTACTAATGAGAAATTGGCAAATGTAAAGCAAATTAGCCACAAAACGAAGAATTTAGACAGGTTAGATCCAGAAAGACCAAGGAACACCTTAACTGCGTGCTCTGAAGACAAAGTTGGAAAGTTGAGATGCAGGAAGACCTTGAGCCTTCATTGAAGAAGACCCCCAAGACCACCTGCTATGAATGACGTTCTATTTGTCCAATTTATCAAACAACAAGATTAAATTTAGCAGGAAATTTTTAATAGCAACAGTTATATATAAATGAACGCAATCAAAGTATTAGATACATATATTTGAGTATATACAAAATTTGGCAGTGAATAATTTAGTATAATTGAGGCTCATATAAAGCATAAGCAAAACCAGCTGGGGGTACGGGGAGGGGCTCGCCCTTCCTCACGTACCAAACAAGACCAAAAATCCCACTTGTATACTATGTGCTAACACAGAATTTTCTGGAAAGCTCCTCCTAGTTTCTCTTCCTAAAATCTACGTCACTGTGTTGTGTTGCACGTGCTCTACAGTAATTAGGGGGTCTCTCATCCTTTTGAGGGTCTCATTTCCCATGAAGGCTCTTGGTCTTCATCGATGACCGAGGTGTGAGCTGCAGGTAGGGCAAGAGCACTGAGCTTGGGGTTATGTGACTGAGCAGATGTTTTCCATAATAAGAGTTTAATGAAGTCCCATGCCTGGAATCATCCCATTTTGGCCCATTCCAAGGTTGAAACTTTTTATTTCTAGATGCTGTTTATCAAACCTACATCCTTCTGCTACTCCCTTCTAACATCTGAGGGATTCCATCTGCTTCCTCTCACTTGTTTCCCTTTTGGCTTCGTAACAATTATTTTTTAATTGATACAAGTACAAGTTTGCTCATACAGTTACAATTTAGTTAGTTTCAGAATTTCACTGGTGGTTATTTACAATGACTGGATGGTTATCTGTGAATCTGACTATCGCCAGAGATTTTGTGAATTGGGATAAGGATGTTTATTCGACCACCACTGCTTACCTGGCAAAACTGTGACAACTGAAAAAACAAAAATTATTGATTACGGCGGGAAACCATAGTATAAGAAGAGGCTGCGGGCCGGCGTTCAGTGGAGCGTGGTGTGGGCAGTGACCCCTCACGTTCCCCAGCGCTGCTTGCTCTGTCTATATCAAATAAAGCCATCGAAATTTTGCTGAATATCGAGACTTTTGTCTCTCATTTATAACATGCCCAGCGCTGAAATAAGCATATCCTTTTAACAAAGCTGGCTGGAAGGTATTTTGTCCCTGTCTTTGGTGCATCGACCCTTAGGGCAGTGCCCGGGCTGCAGGCCCGGCCCGGGGCCGTGCTGGCCCTTTAAGGCTCCTCCCGCGGGAGGCGGAGAGCGCCCACTTCCGGCCGCGTCCGGAAGCGCGGGCAGCGCCGCGGCCTCAGGGCGGCAGCGCTGGGAGGGCCGGGCCGGGCGGACCGAGGGACCCGCGGGAGCGGCGTGAGGTGAGCGATGAGCGGAGGGACCGTCCCCTCATCCGGCACCGCGCTGCAGCTTGTGCCGCCGTCGCGGAGCCCGCGCTCCTGCCGCCACTCCCTTTGTGTCCGCCCCTCACGCCGCCTCACGGCAGATGCTGCCCCGCCAGGCCCGGTCCCGCTTGGCGGGAAGGGACGGAGAGCACCGGGCAGGGCGAGAAGGGCGCTCGGGTGGAGCTGCCGGGGCTCTCCAGGGTTTGAGGTTTGTGTTGGGATTGCGGTGGGGCCGGCACCGAGGCGGCTGCAGCGGCTCCAACTGCGAAACCGAAAGAGTTTTGGGTGCCCGGGCGTTCCGTGCGCGGGGGCCGGGGCTCCGCAGCCGGTGCGGGGTGTCGGTAACAGCGTTACAGGGCACGGTGCTGCTCGCTGCTGGGGTTCGTTCGTGTGCCCCCCATGCTCCTTTAAGCGATTTCCTCGCTTAACGGGCATAGGTAAATATTTATGCCTTTTCTGAGTGAAAAGTGAGACAAACGTTGTCTCATCTGCATTTAAATGACAGAAGGGATTCTCTCGTAAATCGTACTTGCCGCTTTATGAAATGCATTAATATAGCTATTAACCTAAACACCAAAACAGTTCTTGAGTGTGAGCTGAACAGATTTCTGCTGATGTACTACCTGGAGAAAGATTATAGTAGGTGAGAATTTTGCCCTTTTCCCAGACAGTGAGTCGCAGCAGAGGACAGAGCCTCAAGCAGTGCTAGGAGAGGTTCAGGCTGGGCACCGGGAGGAATTCCTTCATTGAGGGAGTTGTTAAATATTTCAGTATTGGAATGGGCTGCCCGGGGCGGATGCGTGTCACCATCCCTAGAGGTGTTCAGCTAGATGTGGCACTCAGTGCTCTGACCTGGGTGACAAGGTGGTGTTTGGTCACAGGTTGGATTCGGTGATCTCAAAGGTCTTTTCCAGCCGGAGTGATTCCGTGATTCAGTGGTTTGATTTCTGTTTTGCTCCAGATCTTTGAAACACCACCGAAACTTGGTCACCAGGGGGTGTATTGCTGAGGATACGGCTCTGCCCTCTGCACTCAGGACATGTATGGCTGAAGTGCTCAGCCCCTTCCCTGGCTGCAGGGCAGCGCTGTTCTCCCTCCCACCATGTGACCTGGCACACCTGCACAGCAAATAGCTCCTTTTTTCGAAGGTAAATGCCACAAATGTTGGATTTTCCTAGTTTACGCATATGCATGAGGAACTTAAGGCTTGGCTTTCTCTACTTTTGTTATGCTGAATAAAAGAACTAGTTACCATTTTTCTTTTTGTATAGTTCAAGAGTTCATTCTTTCGCAGCCTTCCATTGTTTTGAAGGGGCCTACAAGGAAGCTGGAGAGGGACACTTCATCAAGAGCTGTAGTGATAGGAGAATGGATTCAAACTGACAGAAGGCAGGGTTAGATTGAGTATTAGGAGAAAGTTCTTCCGTGTGAGGGTGGAGAGGCCCTGGCACAGGGTGCCCAGAGAAGCTGAGGCTGCCCCTGGATCCCTGGAAGTGTCCAAGGCCAGGTTGGACAGGGCTTGGAGCAGCCTGGGATGGTGGAAGGTGTCCCTGCCCATGGCAGGGGGTGGAATGAAATGATGCCTTAAGGACTCTTCCATCCCAAACCGTTCTGTAGAATTTTTCAGGCTAGCAGGATCTGAGATGACTCTATTGCTGCTTAGTGAAGGATGTTTGTTTTTAGAGGAAAGCAATCTGTGGTGAGAATTTTAACACTCTTCCTATAAAAATAACAAAGACAGGAAAGT